TGCATGTTTCATCACTATGAAACTTTCATATTCATATGATTTGGGCTTCTCAAAAGAAGTTACATCAATCAAATTCCTTCCCGGCCAAGCCATACCACATTCACATCATCAAATTTTGTTGTGCATAATTCTTACCCCTTTTCCTAAACAGGCCTACATCAATAATTGGAGGACCCTAAAAATTACAGCAATCAGAGCAAAAAAAAAAAAAAAGGGGGAAAAAACCTTAGCCTAAATCCATTATCTCTGATAGATAGGCTTTGATTCAACTTTGTGGATAACATAACTAATCAGTACTTTGTCAGTGGCTAAATTAAAGCCCTTTGGTTAAGAGGCCTTGCCGTCAGCATTTCTTCTTTCTTTTTTTGCTAAACAAAGTGAAAGGGTTTGCTCTGAAAGCTGCCCTACACACACCTAACCTTCAATTCACATAATCTGCGCATTGAGCTCACAACAACCCATTCAAAAAAGAGAAAGTGCCTAATTTACACTTGGGGGCACCCACTTTTATTAAAGACAGACACCAGCACCAGCTTTGCATAGTTTGGGTCAATCATAAGACTTCTGCTTCCTGTTGTTGGTTGCCAAACCCTTTATTTTATACAGCGTTTGTCCATGGTATGATGCGCTTTTCAGAGCAAACTTCTCAGCATTCTCAAAATATATATTTTCTTTTCACTAACTTATAAATAAACGCAAACCCTGCTTTGATATCATCTTAAATTTTAAAGTAGACAATCCAATTAAAATCAAATAAAAATAAAGAAAGAAATTTTTATTATATTTAAGTTCTCAAAATATCTCTTATTTAAGTAACATCTGTCTCAACAATTTATCTAATAAATATCATAAAAGTTCCCTTGATTATAACTTTTCCTGTCGTTAATTACTTGGTTAGGATGTCATGCTGATAGGCCAAAGAGAGGAAAGGGCAGGAATTAAGGTGGATTTGATGTATTTTAATTTTCATAGTAAAGAAGAATATGTATTATTATTACTACTCCTGTCAATTGAAGGAACAACCCTTTGATATAAAGCTCCATACCTTCTCAAATATACCCACATGGCAAATGTAGCTCAAATGCGGATTTAGATAGAGAAAGTTGTTACCTACACATTTACTTTCTTGCATGGATCACCTCCTTATTAGGTTTCTTAATTACTCACTTAGTGTTTGTATAATTTACCCAATAATTTAGCAGCATTTCACGAATTAATTATGCTTCATATATATAAATGTAAACTCTAATTTTAAAAAATTAATTGATTTTTTTATCTGTATAATATATGATGTGATTTGATAATATGAATATATAATAATTATTATTTAATTATATTTATTATTATATCTTCTGTTGTGTAATCAAATTATCCTAGTTCGTCAAGGGGCAGAAAAGGGTTAATCGCACAAACTTTTAGGCAAACAAAAAAGAGTTAATTAGTGATTAGTGTTAGACTTAAAGAGCTATGATTATTACAGAGGACCCAAAACTAAAAATGAACCGTTAAAAGAATAGAGGTACGTTGGAACAGTTAAAAAGAGTGACGGTGGTGGAGACAGCAACACGAAACTGTGTCATGTCAAAGCGAAATGGCGCCAAAGATAACCAAAGCTCCACGTCTTTGATGGATTTGGATCTGGATGGCATTGATTGGTTGGCGACGGTGATGGTACACACGTGATAGAAGATCGAAAGGTTTGGTTGGTGCCCGTTTCGATGGGGTCCATTTCCTCCATTAATTCCCCTTAAACGTCGGTGCACCTGCCGCGCGTGACTTTCCATTTTGCGCCACACCCCCCTCCTGCGGAACGGCGTCAATGGGCCGTTAGTTGGTTCCCTCCATTTCGAGAGCTCTCGTGAGGGTCGAGATCCTGGTTCCGTTAACGTCGGTGGGAAAAGATTTCCGTTATGATGAATTGACGGTTTTGCCCCCTCCCCCTTGTGATTCTCGGGGATGGAATATTCTTTACGAGGTACAAAAATTGGGATTCTGTGCGGTTAAATTATCTGCAACTTGTACGAGTTTGAGTAACTTTCTTTCCTCTTTTTATTGGGGTGGAGATAATGGGGCTAGTGTCCCTTAAATTAAGGGTAAGGGGACCGAGATTGGAGAGCATCTTTGCCTTATCGCGGTCGCATATTTGGCCGCCACGTGCCTAGATTTAGGACCTTTGTACTATACTTCTTTTACTTTGCAAAGGAAAAGGGTAAGGAGAGAGGAATGAAATGAATAATCAATTATTTAAAAAAAGAATTGAATAATTAAATAAAAAACAAATTTATTTTTTTATTGATAAGCACATGAAATCAATCCTAGTTTCAATTAATTAATTAATTAGTGTTAAACATAAGGAAAAAATCTCATAGTTCACAAGTTAATTTTTTGTATATTCGGAAATATTCTCTTGCCTGCCATGTGATCAGAATGAGAAGGACAAAAGGGGAACTACAAAGGGCATAAAAATGGGTAAAATTTGTCAATGGTAATGATTAAGAAGCACATGAAACCAACCCTAGTTACATTTGAAGCAAATTAATTAAGAATTCATGTGATCCCAAATTTATTTGATTGATTAGCATGGGTATGTTGCATGCCTTTGCAAACCCATTTCCTTCACACCCAAGGCTAAATTACTCGTTTTAGGGTAACCTTTTTGAGCACATCATTCATGCAACAGTGACAAGTCTTCTCCATACTTGAGGAGTGGGGAGGGATGGGGTGGTGGCCAAGATGTTGTTATAGCTTTATCTGTTTCTTTCTTTGGGGTTCCATCATTACTTCTCTATGGCTTCTCTTCTATTCATCAACACTTGTCTCTCTTTTCATGTTCCTTCAACTACACCATTCTCGTAAAGCAGATTGGATTCCTTCCCCTTTTTTGCACTCTTTCTCGGTTCTAGCGGGCCATTGCTCATCCAATGCTTTTCACTTTAACGGTATAAACTGTTGGGTACAATGTGCAAACTTGCGCTAGTTTCACTGAAGCAAAAGCTTTTGATTACTTTATATAATTAGTTATAGCAGAAGGCTAGAAGCTTTAGCTTTTTCATTTGGGACTGGGCGGGTTTGGTTCAAAGGCATGGGCAATGTAATCTATACATAGATAGACCTGGAAATCCATAGCTAAAAAGAGAGTTTAACATGTTTTGTATGAAATAAAGAGTTCACATTCGAGTTTTTTTTGTACTACTTTCTTGTAGAAAAGAAAAAGGCTTCATTCAGCTTCCTTTAAGACCAACGTTTATAGATCAGGTGAGACACTTTACCTCTCAAAGTTCAGTCAAGTCCCTTGAATATGAAGTAAACTTAAAGGAGCTGAAATTCCATGCCATCATTCTTGGTTCTGGTCCCTACTCAGAATATAGGTAGTTTTTCTAGTTGAAGTTGTATCAGAATCAATTTTGTATTCAGGAAGTCATGAGTTGGATCCCTTGTGAAATCTTTTGAGTCCTCAAAGGAGGGAGACTTCGATGTCACCAAGGTAGTAGATGGTCCCGATGTGTTGGGATTCACTAGAAATATGCTATCTTTGCAGAGTGTAATTGAAATTAGAGACACATTTTGAAATCAAATAATATAAGGATAATTCCGAATATCAAACAATCAAGTTAATTCTTTTACATATATACACACATACATATGTATATGTGTGTATATATTTAAATTCTGTAATATTATTTCTAATTACTAAATTTTTGTAATATTTAAAATTATATGTGACCTGTTTACTTTCTTCATATAATTCATTACTAACATACTTAAGTTAAAAAAAAAAAAACCAAACCAATAGACAACTTCATTGAAGATCCTTGTCTGGGATGTAAATGAAATCATTAGGTTCCACATAATCAGACAAACTGACCCTAAAAAACTGATTTTGTTGTGTAATGAAGAGAGTATAAAGACACTAATCCCTCCCATTAACAGCCCAAAAGAACAAAATCATGAAGGCCTGACATATAATATTCGGTTTCTGGTTTGTATAAGCAGAAAAGTATAGCAATGGCAGGAGGATAGGGGAATGAAACAATCATTGAAGCAGTTTCTCATGCTTTCCGAAGAAAAAAAATCAGAGTTTCCGTGAAGAGATAGATAAATCCTGAAACCCGAGCCAAAGAAACAATGATTGGTCTTTCTCCCATGCTGTGTGAGGGTGTCTGATTATGACTTTCCAATTTATTTTACAACCCGGGTGTGGAACCATGCAGCTGAGCGTAGCTATCAAGGCTGCGTGCCTGTGTCTTTCCTTCCTGATGTAAGCAGACAGCATGAAGCCCTGAAGCATGGCTTTCACGTAAAGCTACCATGGACTGGTACCTTCGGGTGTGCCTCGCTCAGGTCGCAAACTGCGGGCAGATAAATATGGCAGGACAACAAGTACGAAGAAGGCCAAGCCCCATTGGAAAACAAAGTCGGGGTTTGGTCGATAGCCCATTGAGAATCCCATGTAATTTGGGCCTCTTTCTTCATGGCCCATGATCAGAGCTATGTAATATTCTCATTTTTTAAATAAAAATTCAGATGTTCATCAGTAAAATATTCGTTATTTTTTAAATATTTTAATCCTAATCTTAATAGTTGATAAAAAAAATTGAACACTATAGATATTATTCATTAAATATCTGTATCTATTAATTACTTGATTAAAATAAATTTAGAGTCAATTTTTATGTATATTATTGATAAAAAGTAAATTAAATTAATAATTAAAATTAATTTATAAAAAAATTTAAAATCATATTTAGAATAATTAATGAATTGTAATAAATATTATATGGATTATAAGCAAATTTATAAATAAATATATATAAAACTAATTGAATTCACATAGAAGATAATCTAAAATGATTATTTGAACTACAAATAAACTGTAAGCCCGTGACAAGTAACAATTTTATGATTTAACTTCTAATCGAATCCGATTATAAGGTATTATAATGTTAATGAGGTTAGCTTATATTCTAATCTTAATTCTATCTAGGTTAGCTAATGTAAAGTAGCTTATTACAAAGTAGTAATTCACCTCCCTAACCAAGAATTGGAGGAATTCAAATTCTGGCGTTCAGTTCATTAATCATTTGCCAAAGGCAAATGCTTCTGCTCAAGCCAAAATCAACTCAACTCTGCCTTTCTCGGTTAATTTTCTGGCAAAACTGTCTAAGAAATCTCAGCACAACATCCAGTCATTGTTCTGGCAAAGTTCATGATGAAGAAGATGATGACAAAGACCAGAAATTTTGTGACACAAAAGAGAATCAACAAGACCATTTGTATTTGTATAAGAGCAAGGGGCAACATCTTCTCACCAACACAAGGATTCTTGACGCTATTGTCCGAAGGTCCAACGTAAGACCTACAGACACCGTCTTAGAAATCGGACCCGGCACTGGAAATCTTACTGTCAAGCTCCTTGAAGCTGCTAAAAGGGTCGTCGCCATCGAAATTGATAAAAGAATGGTGGACATTCTCCACAAACGTGTTGCTGAGAAAGGGTTGCAAGATAGGCTCCATGTAAGGTTTCAACAAATAAAAATTTATGTGTTTGATGAAATGTCTGAGAGAATGTTCCAAGCTTCGTTGGGCGTTTCATTGGTCTATATAAAAGTAAATTGTGCATGTTATTATCTTAAAAATCTAATTTTTGTTTGCAGGTTATATGTAAAGATGCAATGAAGGCGGAGTTTCCTCAATTTGACCTCGTTGTAGCTAACATTCCATACGGGATCTCGTCTCCTCTTGTGGCTAAATTGGTTTATGGAAGGAACCCTTTTAGGAGTGCAACGTTGCTTCTCCAGAAGGAGTTTGCTCGTCGGCTACTGGCCAAACCTGGGGACTCGGAGTTTAACAGATTGGCTGTGAATGTGAAGTTGGTGGCTGATGTAGAATTTGTTATGGATGTGAGCAAGAGGGAGTTTCTTCCTTGCCCAAAAGTTGATTCCTCTGTTGTAATGATCCGACCAAAAGCTCAAGTCCCGGATGTTAATCTTGATGAGTGGTGGGCTTTCACGAGGACTTGTTTCAGCAAGAAGAATAAGACACTAGGTGCTACGTTTAAGCAGAAGAAAAAGGTGATGGAGCTGTTGAAACTGGCCAAAACAGCCATGGCGTGCAAGGATTATGAATCGGATGATGACTATGATGGTGACAATGAACAAGAAAAGACAGATGAAGAAGATGGCTTTGCATCTGCTGCTTCTGATTTGGAAATGACTTTGTTCAAAGAGAAAATCGTTGGGATTTTGAGAACAGGTGGGTTTGAAGATAAGAGGCCTTCAAAGCTGTCTAATGAGGAATTGTTACATCTACTCTTCTTGTTCAATCAAGCTGGAATATATTTCCATGACCATGTACTTGCAAAAGGCTCAGATAATGTTGAATTTGCTGCTGCTTATAGTTCATAGCAGCTCCATTCTTCTTAGTGTTACTGTCGTTTTCATCCTTCTAGTTCTCCTAGAAGAAAATATTAACATCCCAACCTAAGATCATTACCAATTCCTTGTATAACCTAACTATTTAACACGGATTTGAGGCAATTCAAATCCAATTCTTTAAATGTATATATATTTATTATTGAATCAAATATTCAACTATAGCTAAAACTCGACAAAATCACTTTGACATGATCTCCTTGCTTTTTTAGTAAGGTTCAAATCTTTTTTTCTTCAAAAAAAGAATTAAATTATATTATATACTGAAAAAACCTTATTTTTTAAATAAGATTCTAATCATCTTTTCTCTAAATCAAAAATTAAATTGTATATACAGTAAAAAGTGGGCTGGTTTAAGTGGTTATTTTTTGTTGGAATGTCTTAAAAGCAACTTCAGTTTAGAAACGGAGTTGGCCCAATTGCCCTAGGAGTTTGGGCTTAAGGTCCTATGTTTGCCACTCGTTTCTTCGTCTCCAACCCTTTCTTTTTCACTCTGGTTTGAGGTTGCCATTCTGCTCAAACAAAAACAAAGTAAAAGCCGGAAACCAAAAACAACCCTTTCATTTTGACACTCACTTTGGACCTGAAAAGTTAACTGTTTCATGCTTTAAAATAATGGGATTTGGAGCTCTAAGAACTATCATTCGACCGCTATCTCGGACCCTCCTATCCCGGGCCTCCCCTGCCTCTGTAACTACGTCGAGTCTCTGCTCTTCTTTATGCCCAAAGCCCGGTTTCAGCTTCTGTTTGAGCGGGTCGTTTTACCGGCAATCTCCATGGATCCTGATATCCAATCAGTTGCATAGCTTAACCGACACTCGTTTGCCAAAGAGAAGGCCCCAAGACAAACCACGTCGGAAAAGAGCCAGCTTGAAACCCCCAGGTAATTCCTTTCGAAATCTCGCTTAAACCCTTTTTCCAATTTTAATTAACTTAAAGTTTTGAGGCTTTTTATTTCGTTTTTTTTGCTCGGGTTTATGTGGAATTAGGGTTTTAGAAGGCATTTAGAGAGAAGCTTATATACATATGCTCATTTTGTTAAGAGCAAAATTATTAATGAAAAATGAGGAAAAATAGGGGGAAATGCTGATGGATTTAAGAATGCAGGGCCGTATGCATGGGTAAAGTATACACCAGGGGAGCCAATTCTTCCTAATAACCCGAATGAAGGGAGTGTCAAAAGAAGGAACGAGAAAAAGAGAATGAGGCTGCGTCGTGCATTTAAATTGGTTCGTTTTCAATAAACCACATTGAAAACGTTTGATTGATTTCAGCTTTGTATAGCAATTATCTAGTTTGTAATATGTTTAGTTTTTATCAAACGATGTTAAAGATGAGGAAGGTAGTGCCTTAGGTTTTAGTTATATGCATTATCAACCATTTTGCCTTTACTTAAAATGCATCCAAATCTCAAATAGAATATTCATTCCGGTAGAATGAAGCTGATTTAAAATGAATTGTTGAATGTTGAAGTTACAATTTGCATTACTGGTTACCTTGTTGAATGCGTTTAGAAGAAATCCTGAACGTATATATCTGAGCAATGTTTTCAGTAAGTTATCTTTTAATTAGCCAAAAGGGACATTGGAATGTGAAATGAGGGTAGATTCATGTTTTCCTAATAGAGTGCGTCATATTGTCAGAGTTCATGTAGGGATGGGTCTCCCAAATATGTGCTATAATTTCAACCATAGACTGAGGTAAATAATCCAGCTTATCTGGAATTATGTGTACGGATGAACCAATTTATCCTTGAACTGTAGTCACCGTCTTGTTCTTTTCTTGTCTTCATTTTATTTAAACACAAGCATTCGGTTGTGGCTACTTTGTTGAAGTCTGTCTTCAATTGGCATTTCATATTATGCCTCTAACATTGGATCCTGTGGGGCCAGGTGAATGTGGCTTCAGAATTCATAAAACGTGTAATATGATGCCCTTTTAGCCCAGAATTGTTCTGATTATATGAGGAAGCCATATTTGGATTGCAGAAGTTCATCTCTAATGCATCATTTGTAGCTTTAGAAATATCAATTTAGCTAAAACCATAATTCTGTTGTTAAGAATGTACTCTTGTATCAAAAGAAAATAAAAGGAAAACTAATATCAATTGTTGGTTATTATTGGCTTTCCCTTTTCACTTCTGAAACCATGGCTATCTAATTGCTCCATTGGCACTTTTGTAATATCTTTAATATCTTCTCACAATTGGACTGATAACTGGTTACCACTCTGCCCTCACTAGCACTGCACTTATGGTCTTCAGTTTTTGTCTTTTTATTATTACAACAAGAGTTTAGACTGAGGTTTTAAGTGAAATATCTATATGCTGGTTCTTGCATTCACTGTTTATAGTGCACTTTTAACTAGCTTCTTTTCTTATTTTTCAGATTTTCTTAAAGTTCAGATATATGTGGCAGTTCGATAAGCCATATAATTGCTTTGTGTTTACTTATGTTTGGATGTATTAATGAATTATCCCTGTAGTAAACTTTCTTTTCCTCTCATCCTTTCTGGTTGTCTTTGGAGTAGACTGTCTACTTTTTAATATCTGCATACTTGGTTCTGGGGAAAATGCTTATGTGTTATTGCGGAGTTCTGCAGGCAGAGGCAAAGAAGAGGAAAGCTCAGTTGCAGGAGGCTAATAGGAAGAAGAAGATTAAGCGAGTAGAGCGTAAGATGGCTGCAGTGGCAAGGGAAAGAGCATGGGCCGAAAGGCTGGTGGAACTGCAGCGGCTTGAGGAAGAAGAGAAAAAGGCCGTGGTTTGAAATATCACTTGGTCGTAGACTTCTTCTTCCAATGGTATGCTGCTTTTGAGACATCAAACCTTGTTTCTATAAGCTTTATTTGCATTTCCTTCCTAATGTTTGGTTACGCCATTCAGTGCCCAAGTTAATGGCCTTTAGACATCTGATGTTGGTTTTTCTAGTTCTGCACTTTCTCATTTGTAGACTGGAAATTTGTATTTTATGAGCAGGATTAGGAAACATGAAAGGTGTTGCAAAGTTCCATTTGGCTTTCCCAACCATGGGCCTGATTCTTGTCCCTTTTTTGCATATCTTTTTAACTGAGCCCTTCTTTGAGGACTTCACATTGAACTGGTGAAATGAGATTTGGAATAAGTTAGTTGGATTTCAAAATTTATTTTATGATGTGATGTTTGATTGCCAAGTAACCTAACAAAAAGTCATGGAAAAGGGAGAAACATTCATTTAAAATAATTCTTCATTTCATCATGTTTGAGGATACTGGAGAGTTTTTTGGCCACTTAAGTGGTGTACTATAAAGGGTTGGGATCTTAGACCATCTGAGGTTTCTTTTCTTACATTTTTATTTTTGGCTTAAATTAACAGAAGATGCCAGGGCCACTACATTCTTTCATGGTGATTATATGACAATTGGGTGGTTAAGGGTTAAACCTGCAACGCTTTTGCTATTCCTATTTATGATATATGCTAGGCTGAATAGACAAACTGAAGTGGTTATTTATCTCATCAAATAAGCGTTGCTAATCCAGTTTGACTACCTGCAAGCAGGGTTTTAGTTTGCTCAATGACTGCATAATTACCATGAGCTCTTACCTGTTGGAAAACTTTGTACTTTTATGTTAGTTCTTAGCAAGAAGTTCTTATAACATATGCTGCAGATTTCCGGGTTGAGATAAACTACAGATAAGAAATATCAGCAACGATTATGAGCTATCTTCCCATTTTCTGTGCTCCAAGCATCTTTAAAATTTCTTCATGTGTAAAACGAGGTTAGAACAACTCTTACACACTACAGAGTAGAAACACACCCACGAAGCAGAAAGGACTAAAGCAGTACATGAAATGATGGTACAAATGAATGCATGTGACAGTTTCCTTTCTTCCCTTCTATGATTATTTTTAGGATGTCAAATACTCGGGGCCAGAAAGCTCCTATATCTTGTGGTCGGATTCACTTACACTATGGTAAGAGAGAAAGAGAAAGACGGGGGATGGAAAAGAAACTAGTGTTTCTCTTGTTCCTATTTTTTTCAATCTTTCTACCAAACTGTTAAAGTTCCACAGCAGCTTTCTAAGAATTGAATTGCCTGCCTGCCTGGGAGTCATGTAGGTTTCCTTCAAGTGACTGATCTGGTGTTGTCAATATCAGTAGGTGTTTTATGCGAGACAGCAACTACTCAAAATTTTGGATCAGTTAGCTGAATGTTCATCAATCAAGTCCTGTTTTTCTCATCTGTTTTTGTTTTTTTACCAAACCAAAAGGAAAGATATTTACACTACAACCAACCAATTTTCATGGCCAGAATTGCAATCTAACCTCATCTTTGCTCTTCTGCTGCTGTTAATCTAGAAGGCAATACCCTGTGTAAGATGATTTTGATATCTTTGGCGGTTTTCTCCCTCCACTTTGGCCGGGAAGATGATTGACGGGTGGCAGTGAAGCAAGGAATTTTGTACTACCACGAATGTTATTATCAACTCAAACAAAAAGAAAATATTTCAAACAAAAAGAAAATATTTGAATATTTAGCTCATTGGTTGATTCATAATTTTTTTACTTAAAAAGTCAAATTCAAATATCCTTTTTCTCAATTAAAAAAAAAAACTCAAACAAAAGAAAGAAAAATTAATCCATTGCAGCTCAGACATGAAGAGTTAGATTATATCATCCCCACTTGCATTCAATTTTGAAGGACCATAAAAGGGCCCAAGGTCCTCTACTGCTATAAGAAAAGATGGTGACATGAGAACTAACACCATGATACACAGTCCCATCGGTTTGTTAAAGATCATTGCAGCTGTACAAATTCCATTTCCAATGGCTCCCTTTTGGTGGGGATAAAGCTTCCAAGTATCTGTCTGGTTATATCTATCCAATGAGACTAAAAATATTTTCTTTTTTAGATATTTTTTGAACACATCTTTCCTGGATGGGCCAAACTACTGGTAGTTACATAAGGGGGTGACTGTGATTGGCAGCTTCCTCTTCATCTTAACAGTTGGAAAGTAGATGATTTCATCCTCCTGAGTAACCCATCTGCATGTGATAAGAGAAAACAGAGTTGTCTTGAGTTTTGACAGACCGTAAGAGATGGGAAATCTGGATAGAATTGGTGGGCTTCTGATGACACCTATCCACCAGGGCATGGTAGCTAAATATCAATTCTTTAGCTTCTTCTTAGTTTATGTCATTAAATAAAAGCAACTCTCAATCATGTCGGATTTTAATGGCCTGTTGGATGTACATTTCCAAGGCCCTTTAACCATGGAGGTATCCCATGCTTCACTGGATCGAATTATAGCAGCAGCAGAAGAAATGTATGACTAAGGAAGAACAAGATTGAATAATTACCTATAACTGGTGACAAGATGGTGAAGGAAGATTGAAAGTTCTAGCCTTGACAGTTCTAAACCAGGGCAGAGCCTCTGCCCACCTCCAAAGGGTGTAAAGCTATTGTTGTTAACAGCAGGTCCAAGGTTCTGCAAACAAACAAAATTATCATCAATGGACATAAAACCTAAAACATTTTGGAGTTAAATTGCTTATACAGATGAACTAAAATTCAAGTGACACTTATCTTGTGAAGTGGTGGAATTGTTCACAATTATTTAAAGCTTACCTCCCATCTCCATGGATAAAAACGATATGGGTTTTCATAATTTTCCTCATCCATATGAACAGAAATGAAAGATGCCAGGACACACCAGCCCTGTGGTATCAAATAACCTGCAAAACAACCATAAAAAAGTTTGGTCTAATGAAAAGTGTTTTTCCTGATTTCTGCAGAGTCAATCTCAAAGAAATTCTACAATGAAACTACCTTTAATGTCTATATCCTTGAGTGCTTTCCTCCAAACTCCATTGATGATATTTGCCATTCTAAGAGTTTCACTTATCACCTAGCAAGAGCAAAAAGAAAAGGAAAGCTTCATGTAATATGCAACTTTTTTTTATGTAAAAAAGAAACTTTTACATCATCTCCTTTGAAATTTGAGACTCACATTTTGAGTGAAAGGCAAAGACAAGTAGTCAGTCCAACTATAGTCTTCAGCAGAATTCATCATCTTCTGCTTCTTCAGTTCCATGTTCTCTTCCTGCACAAATCAACATCATCAATTACATAAAAGTGTTTTAAAAAAACTTGCTTTTCAATGAAAGAAGCCAACAACTAATGCCATTGGATCACTTTTCCTTTATTGTTTCTTCAGCAAGGAAAAAGAAAATAAAAAGGGGTAACAGACTTCGGACCTGTCACATATCTTTACAACAATTTCAAAGACTTACATTTCGTAATTATGGTAAGAACCTTCTGTACAAAAATACAGGCTCCCCCACTTCAATTCTAACCTTGAAAATAATTGCCCCATGAATTTCTTCTTGATGTACCTTTTCCACAGAGATCTCAACATGAAACCGAGACAGGTTTTGTAGTTTTGGTGACTGTGACTACACCAACACGGTTCAATTCCCAGTTCAAAGTTCAATCAGTTTTGAACTTGTGAGGTAAATTTTGGGTTGCCAAATATCTGACCAGACCATACAGCAACTTGCCAATTCTTGGAAATTTTCTACATTGTTGCTACAGATTCGTGGTTAAGATCAACCATTTTTAGCTTCAGTAAGGAAACCATACCCAGGATTCCTCTTAAAACAACATGGTTCATTGCATTAATCAAAGTTCCGTTTCTTTGACAGAGGAGTACAATCGGAATATGATCCTAAGTACAAATAGTAAAGTCAAAAGAAAGGGTTTTTACTTTTTCTTTTTTCCATTGGAAAGAAAACTGACTAGGAGTTAGGTAGAACTGTGACAATCAAAGCAGAGGCAAAGGAAACAGAGTTAAGAGAAAAGTGACAGTACACTTCAACTCTTTACAGCATGGTCTATTTTTCGGCACAATCTGGGGCCCTCCACACGTACAATCTGTCTTGCACGTGCATGTACTCGTGTGTCTAAGGAAAGTAGCTAGGAAAGAGGCTTCTCCTTTCCCAAGGAAAAATATTAAAAGAAAAGGAAAAGACAAAGTCAAACAGTTGGCTTTCGGACCAACTTTTGCAGATGGAATCAAAATGATCCTAACCGTGGGATGGAAAAGGTATCAGCTTTTTTAATGTTCTTTATCTTATTTTATTTATTTATATTCATGTTACGTACCATCAACTGGTGGAGAGCAACAGGGCAGTCACTGAGGAATTTGACAGCTAGGGTCATTGCCATGGGAACCGTCTCTTCTCCAGGGATCATCATCTCTATTATGTTCCCACTGACGAAATCCAACGGCAGAGATTGCTTCTCGTTTGCTTCTTCCCTGTAACGTAGCAGCACGTCCACTGCGTCATTGGCCATACCTCTTACGTCTGTTTTCTCCATAGCCAATTTTCTCTCCTCCACAATCTTTTTCACCATTTTCAGTAACCTTTCTTTGGCCTACAACGAACCAAAAAAAAACAAAGACCTTTGTATAAACCCTACAGAAATGGTAAACTGAAGAGAAAGATAAATCCAAGTTTTCTCTTTTATTTATTAACCTTCAAAGATTTATATAGTCTTGTTCCTGGAAATTTGATGGGTAAGCAGATTAAGCCTTTGATGAATTCTTCAAATTCTCTCTTCAGAAAGTTCAAGTCTTCACCAGGACCAACACTCATCAAAACGTTTACCAAGACATTGAATGTAATCTGAGATGTCCATGAAGCAGAAAAATCAAGCTTCGTCAAGAGTCAAAATAGCAGTATCATTATTTGGAATCAATATTTGTTTTAGTAGTACTGCACTATTTTGAATTTGACCTTTTTGGTTTCTTCTTGAACATGTATCTGCCGCATGTCTTGCCAGGAACCCAAAGTTAGTTTGACAGAGTTTTCAATGTATCTAGTAACTCGGGTCTTGAGCTGTGGGGATCTCAAGAAACCTCCGAGGAGTGCATGAACTCTCTTCTGAAGATTCCCATTCATCTGAAGGATGGAATGTTCGCCAAGCAACTCCCGGATCGATTTGGGGTAAGCAGGGATAAAAACGTTGCCATGGTTCTGTAAAACCACCTTGTTCACGTCGGGATCGGTGGAAACAATGATGGGTGTTCCCAAGATGTGAGTTTTGAACACCCTCCCATGCCTGGAAAACAGAGAAAAGAAACTAAGCAAAAGGCCAAAGCTTTTGCTTTATTGCAGGGCAGGTCTTCTTTTTATTGCTTTTTGTTTTGTTAGCTTCATTGATTGAAGTCTACAGAGAGGGACGCTATGGAGTTCAAAAAGGGAAAGAAATGGTGGTTTCGTTGGAAAGAGAAAAAAAAATGCTGAAAACAATGGAGAATTTGGGTGCAGCTGGTTACTTCCTGCAACAATCTATAGGTTGGAGCTCCAAAACCCAATGTGGTATTGTCCTAGTAAGTCTTTCACTTGCAAACTTTTTTAGCTAATGTCACCTTCTATTTTTGAAGCTGGGAAGGCCATTGGGGTAGTTATCTGTCATAGCTCATTAATGAAAAAGAATTTCTTTTTGGTACATATCATTCAATATAATCAATTTTTAGGCAAACAATTGTCCCCTTTTATTTAATGTGTTAATTAATTTTTTACAAACAATTTGTCTGCTTTTCAAAAAAAAAAGAGAGAAGAATTTGTATGAATTATAAGGGGAATTTGGGGCCTAGTCATTGAGGCAATGTTCCCATTGACTAAGCAAACAATGTGAAATGAAAGGAGGAGTTCAAATTAATTCCATTATTAATTTTTTTTGGATGAAATGACAATTTACATTCCAATATTAGTGTATATATAATATATTGATATTACAATATTTAATTGCAAACCAAGAAAATATTACTCATTCCATCCACTCTCAAAAATGAAAAACAAAAAAATAAAAGAAAAAGAAAATTGGTAATATAACTCAATGGCATCCCTTAGAGAGGAGGAAGGGTAGATTTTTCTTCCTTTGGGTTATATAAATATAGAAAACTTTTACCACTACATGCTAATTGCTATAAACTCCTTATTCCAACAAAAAGAAAAGTAAAGAAAATAAATAATAATAAAAAACTTTAAATTTATTGTTACCCCACAAGTTTATGTCTTAGCCTGCATGTTACATGATTTGATAGATAAAGAGTCCTCTAGTACTATAAGAAATTCTTTTGTAGTACTAATAATAATCAGAATAATTTGTAATGCCATGCATGCCCTTTTTTAATTATAAAAATTTGGGACCAATTAGAACTTTATAGGCTGTATAAGCAATATTTTTACACAAAATAATAAGAAGGATAAATTTATATTTAAACCATAAAATAACAAAAATATAATAATGCTGATGATGGAGCAATGATTTGTGAATCTAGGGTTTCCATCATCCAAAGAGAAAAAGCAAGCCTGGCAAACTAATAAGACTAATATTAAAAAATTTAAATTAAAATAAATAAATAAATAAATAAATAAATATATGTATACATATGAATATACAAATTGAGCCATGGAGAAAGGAGGAAGGGCAAAAGAACAAGGAGCAAGAAGAAGACAATCCCAAAAGCAAGAAAACATATACAACGGGGTTAGAAATTAAGGAAAAGGAAAAGCTCACAGGGTTTTGCGTTTGTCCATGAAACTGACAGGCCGGGAGGTGTAACCACAAGCAATGAAGTCGAGAGTTTCTCCTATGAAAGGCCAACCCAAGCTCCCTTTAGGAACCCCACTCTTCTTTTCTACTACTTCTCCTCCTGCTCCTATTCTCTTCATCATCATCATCTTCTTGTTCTTCTTCTCCTTCTTCTTGTGCCAAAACCAATATCCTACCAAGACAGCACCCATCAACACGCTGAACAATCCTATTCCCCGGTCCATCTTTCACCAAAACAACCAAATGATAAACCCTAGACTACTTCTAACAATAATCTGCAAAGGCTTTTGCCTTTATGAGAGACTTTGGGAAAGTTGAGAGTGTTCCCAAATACACATGGGGTTATTAACCTGATCAGTTCATGCAGCTCTAGCTTTGTAGAGAAAAGGTGAAAGAGAGAAGAGGAGGGAGAGGGAGAGAGACAGAGATACTACTTGGCAAGTGAAAAATAATAAGGAAAAAGCTCTTTGTCCTTGGTAGGGAAATGAATGAGAGGGTCATGGCTATCTTGAGCGAGAGATTCGGAAAATCTAGAGGTTGCACCTATCATTAAATGAGTTGGCCATATTGGGTGCACCCAATGCTCCACGCTTGTTCATTTTGTCTTCTCTTCATTTTAGATAGAGATGTACCCATCCCTGCGCATAATAGAGGAAAAAAGAGTGGGGTAGCGTTTAAAGGCTTCTTCTTGTTCTTCTTCTTCTGCTAAAAGAATTAATCTTCTTAATTGCTCTTAGCTGTTTTCGAGCGTTTCAAGAATACTAATACACATTTCATCTTAACCAATAGTATCAAACCTGGATGGGAAGTGATCTGCTTAAATTCATACAAATCTCAGCATGGGAAAGAATCCGAGCTTTGGTTGACACTTGTTACCAACGTGTCAAAAGTGGAAGGGAAGTTAATGTGTGGTGAAACGGTAGGCAGTATTCCCTTTTTCGACTTCTCCAAGCATTAAGAAGGCATGGAGAGAAGCCCACTGGGCCTAACGTGAGGGCGCCGGAATTGTCAGCCTCTTTTTTCTTTAATGGGAACAAAAACCTAAATCGTCGTCTTGTCTTTCATCGTTCTCCAGTACTCTCACAGTCACCACCACCACCCACCCACTGCCTAGCTCTCCCTTTCCTTTTCTCTCTTTCATGCATTTTTATAGTTTCTCTGAGAATATGTGCAACACACCCATCTTTTGAGGTAACTGTTTATGAGTTTTGACCCAACAGAGACATGCAAGTGTTTTTTGTCTTGGCTTTTTGTCAAATGGGATTGCCTGCTGCCATTTGCCATGGTTGAAATTTTGAAGGCAGAAAAAGAAAGTGGTCCGTCCTCTTGCATGCCAACCATGTGGGGTTTGTGCGATGGGGGCTGGCTGGTAAGAGGGGAGAACATGCATGTGTGCTTTGACGACCTTTTTTTTAACTCATGATGAGTGAAATCATATGATTCTCTCAATCATGTTATATGATTTTATCCATGATGACCCCCCAGCAGTTTCAGAGATCTAGTGGAATCCCTTGCTGCATATTTGGGAATGATTTCCCTGTGCTCTTAATTCCTGGTCAGTCTGTAGAACAATCATGGGTGGTGGAACTTCGGCGTTTCAATCTTGAATTGAAGCCATCGTGTAAGTGAGATAGAAATGGAATTATTCTTTCTTTCCCATTCTATATATCAGAAAGAAACGAAGAGAGAGACAGAGAGAGAGGACAATTTAGCATGTCAACATCATTTTCTGATCATTTTGCTCTGCCAGACGAGGTAGAGAAATGTCATGGTCATTCAGGCTCGAGTAACAGCTACCGTAATTAAGATGGGGGGCGGCAGTAGGGCCTAAGAATCAATTTTCTGCTTGCTACAATGCATCAGCCTGCAATATGTAGCGTGAGAACAAAAGGAAAAGAAGAAAAATCCACAGCCACAAGTGCTTCCATCCTCCCTTCACGGCAATTGGTATTGACATGTATTCTCTACCACAGTCTGAAGAAAATTACAGAAAAGCACCTCTTAGCCATATTGAAGCAGCAGCTCCAAATAGAAGATTTCAGACCCTACTCTGTATTCTTAGGCTCTCGTGCCCATATACCCTTTCCTTGGGAGGACCAACCTAAGCACAGAATTTACATCAAATCTCCTAGCAACAAATGCCAATTCTACGGCAAGAAGCTATTCTAGCATTATGAAACAAGAAGGAAAGCGCTTGTAATTTCATTGCAAATAAAGAGAACTAGTAATTAAAAAAGAAAAACGGCCTAACGCACGCACATCAGTTAAAGGGCAGCTCTGGTTTTCAACTTCTGCTACCACAGGCAACTGCTGCTTCCTCCACGTTGTAAAATGTGCTTAATTTAGTTATAGCAAGTGCCTCTCCAAAAAGTGATGCTCTTGTAGTCTTTGTTATAAGAACTTCTACATAATCACCAACAACAGGATTCCTTTTGTTATCCACTTGATCATCTCGATCTTGCAAAGGAAGATTGATAAATGAAACTCTATGGCCTCTATCACTTTTGCCAATAAGCTCTGTATCTGGAGCTCTCTTGTTTGGGCCTTCAACCAGCACAAGTTGGATGGTTCCCAACTGAGCATCATAGTGTTGACCAGTACTTTCACGGAAAGCCTCGATAAGTTCTGTAAGCCTCCTTTGCTTGACTTTTTCAGGTACGTCATCAACATAGTTTCTGTGGGCATGAGTTTTTTCCCTCATGCTATATGCAAACATGTATGCCATATCATAACCAACGGCCTTTATTAGGCTTAAAGTATCTGTATGCTCCTCCTCTGTTTCACCACAGAAACCTGCACAAGATGTCCGGATGATAAGAGGGCAACACCAGAAACTGCGGGTTAACTTTCTTATACGGGGGAGATAAGTTATTGGTAACAACTCTAGCAGCAGTGCATCTGTGGATCATCTAACACCAACAGCTGCAGTAGATTCACTAGGCATAATTTTGCAAAAGATATGGACAAACAAGAGAACAGGAATTTTTACTAGTTTTTGGTGATAGGTTGAGAGAGTTATTTATTACCCACTATTCACCAGTGGTGCACATGTGCCTAGTGTGCTCTCTACTAACCATGGAATCTGAGGCTCTTTTTCAGAAGATTTAGCTTAGATAAATTTTTAACTCCTACTTTAATAAAGCATGCTTCTAAAAGAAACATGACCCTGGCTCACACTCTAACAAAGGTGTGAGTCTAATTTTATGTTCTGGAAATGAGAGTCCTATCACTTGATTAATAAACAGAACAGAACAGACACCTCAAGTGTAAAAGTTATTGTGGAAATGGCATTTCCCCAAAAACAAAAACAGCAATTTGTACTACATTTTGCATGTTAATCAATAGAAGAAAACTCGAAACAAGGAAGATGAAGCTATGGTACTATGCAAAATAGATAAAAGAAACCAATAAGCTCTCTGTAAAGATATGTGATCCACCATATTAGGCAGGACAAATGCAGAAAGAGCAAAATGATCAGGACTCGATTCTCCAAAAGAGAAGTCTTTGATTCTTACTAAGAGCTTAGCCCAATCACCATCACACCCTAATTGAAACAGCAATAAACTTGTTCAAAAGGCCCAACTTCGCATCTCCTAGTTGACAATGTAAGTAAACATCTGGTTCGTTGCAATCCCTTAAGTAAAAAAAGAAGGAAATTGATGTGACTTTAGGCATTAAGTAATGTTCCAGGCAACATCAAAAATTTATTATAGAAACCCTATGGCAGATTAAGAGATTATTTTTAGGGCAGAGTGGTAATATTTCGCATAAATAACTGATGTCATTCCTGCATACTAAAGGGCAACTGTCTAAGTTTTCACATCTAAGTATATAACCAAAATGATAAAACCACAATAACCTGATAAAACCTTACCACATATGAAATCACTGCTTATTCCCACGTCTGGAATGATCCTGCCTATCTTCCGAACAAGATCTAAGTAAGCCTCTCTACTATATCCTCGACGCATTCTTTCAAGCACTGTGGTACTCCCTGTTTGTGCAGGCAAATGTATAGACTTGCAGATATTATGGCGGTCTCGCATCAGATACAGCAACTCATCCGGAAAATCTTTAGGATGTGGGGATGTATATCTGAACCTCATTTCGGGAAACTCAGTAGAAAGTCGATCTAGGAGATCAGCAAAACGCAAACCCATATTTTTCACCTTACACATGCTTTTAAAGCCTTCACTCAATGCCCAATTACTTCCTGGTTCAACTTCTTTTTCACTTCCAGAATCATCATTATAACTATTCACATTCTGTCCAAGAAGAGTCACCTCCTTTACACCTTCTTTCCAAAGCTCCCCAACCTCCTTCACTATAGACTCCACAGGACGAGACCTCTCTCTACCTCTAGTAAACGGAACGATACAAAATGAGCACATGTTGTTACACCCCCTCATCACAGAAACAAAAGCTGTAACCGAATTTTTTGAAATCCTGACAGGACTGATATCTGCATACGTCTCTTCAAGCGAAAGAAGAGTGTTAATCCCTTTCTGACCATAATCAACCTCTTCCAACAGCCTTGGTAAATCTCTATAAGCATCTGGCCCGCAAACCACATCAACCATCTTATCCGAATCCAGAATCTTATCCTTTAACCTTTCAGCCATACATCCCAACACCACCACTTTTGGAGGGTGCAAGGACTGCGACCTTCCTATAGCTACATTGCTCTTCCAATGCCTCTTTAAAAACCAAAAATAATTAAGCCTTTGCCACACTTTTTGTTCTGCGTTGTCCCTTATCGCGCAAGTGTTAATGAATATAATCTCTGCACTCTCAGGAACTTCCACAGTTTCACTATACCCAGCATTCTTCATAATTGATAGCACAATTTCCATATCGTTTATATTCATTTGACACCCATATGTCTCATGATAAATTCTACCTTTTGAAGCAATTTCCGAAGCTGGTGCATCACTAGACCAAATTCTAACACCAAAAAAAAATTGTCTTTTGAGGTATAAAATTCATCACTTTTCTTTACTATGCACTTTAATTATTAAGACACGGAAAAATTGATACCAACCAGGGAGAGAAAAATAAAGTAATTGACTTACTCGGGATGTGGTTGAGAGGCCGTGAGGGAAGCTTGAGCGACGAAGTGATGGAGAGTGGGGACGCCATCGGCGTTGAGGAGGCGGTGAGATTGAGAGAAGCTTCTGGAAACATCGAGAGAAAAACTTTTCCCGATTGGTCTTCGCGGGAAATGGCGACGAGAATTGGAACGAGAAGCGGATGGCTTCGAATAGAAGAATCTTAGAGTGTTAAAGCAGCATCGCCGGTGGACTCTGACGCAGCTGCCGGGTTGGCTCAAAATGGAGGCCATCGAACCAACTTCTTAGTGTGTGCTCTGTATTCGCTTTCCCAACGCAGAAGTACCGGATAGGGGGATCGACAAAGAGGAGGTCCGAAAACGGCAGCGTCTTAGTCTCAGCAAAAAGGAGGGCAGGTATTA